GATACAATCAGAGCCATAGGTGTTGTGTGCGTATAGTTATAGCATATACAGTACCGGTACTACTATTGGAAGGACTATAGCATTTTTCGATAGTACCATTATAGCCATTAATAAAACTGTACTCATTAATTATGCAGTAAGTCAATCGTTGTATTATCATAGAGAGATCGTAAATAGAAAATACTGAAATGATTGAAAGGCACGGTTATATAAATACAATTTACTGTTACCTAGTGCTACAATATGTTTCCTAGTACAGCATCGATTTTAATATTAAATACTAAAACATATTAGTTTAGTATTTTTTATACTGTGAGAAAAATAGGCGTGGTAGATGAAAAGAAGTAGAAGACTACGAAGCGTAGTAGATGATTCTTAATTTTTATTTCGTACTCTTTAATGAAGATGACATCATAGTAGTCATGAGTACAGCACATACGAGTATGTATATGATATATATGTACCATTTTCCCGCGGATAAAGTCAAGACGTAAGAATTTTAATAATACATATACATATGCTAGATAATACACAAACACACACATGCAGCACTGGGAAATGCTTTCGGATCATCCAAGCTATCTACTTTACCAGTACCTGTCCTCTGCATAGTATATTGTGCTGTATGTACACGCATATTACAACTTATTCATTGAAATTGAAATTTTTTAACGAATAATTTTATTGCAATCTAGCAAGATCAATAATATAGGTATGTAAATGTCCGTTTGCCATAAACCTCTACCACTTGCATACGGCATATAGACGAATTATCATCTATGATATGTTTAACGTATGTACAGTATAATGCACGTATTGCAAATAATGTCTCTAGAATAATGTTCTTTCTTCGTATATAAAATTATTTATTGAAATCAGCTATTTAATATTTTAATTCTACTTTAGTAACAGAAGATTACCGAACATTATCATAGAAACTATTATTACAGCCAATTTAGCATCAAATAGCAATTATTAATAATTGGCAACCCCTTCCTCCCTTAAAAACTCCCGGCTTTTATCCCTCGAGGCCGGATTATATCGTAGAGTGTCTGCATAATTGTCTACAGTAAGCTTTCCTAATACTTAAAAGTTCTAACCCATAGAGGTTCTTCCCCATGGTCTAACGTAGTTATTCTGTATCATAGATACTGCACTGCGTAATCTTAGCACATTCGAAATGTCAGCACAAGTAGTGGTCTAAGCCTGGTCGTACAGACTAGATGCGCTAGACTTAATAGAAAATGATACATCGTTCAATACAACAGTCTTTACAACAATAATTACCAATGTTTGACTGAATGGGTCAGTGATATTTTTAATACGACGGTACTTGTTGATAATAATGCCCGGATAAATGTAAGCTGCAACTACTTGGAAAGAAGCAACTCTATAATGCAATAATCCCGTTTACTTCATTAATAAATATAGTCAATATCGAATACACTATATAATACACTAAGTCTTCATTATTGATGCTGTTAGATCTCGGCAATATCATGTACCATACATACATGGCCCATTATTGCTACATAAGGGACATCCATATCTTTATTAAATATAAAAATCTCTTTTTCTATTTTTCAGTATTTAATAGAACGTAAAAATTTCGAATAGATCCCATAGAAATTCATATGTCTCATTTCCTCTGCAATGATTCAACTGTTTAGTAGATAAATTTTTCCAACTTCTGCTAAATTATAAAGCATTAGCAGACTTAGAAATAGTTTAGCCTTAACCGAATGATACAGGAGGAAATCCTAGGTATGAAATACCATGCTAATATAAAATAATCTCTTATTAAATGCTACAGGCTGATATAAATCGATAATTATTATTATTCGACCTTCAATGACTATTAGACTACGAAATTATGCCAAGAGTGCAGTAGCAAAAACTAGATCATGATGAAATGACTAATACAATTATATATCGTACGCTATAGACTGATCAAAGTGCCTACCCACCGCTAACTTCATTAAATCAGTTGAAATATAGTCATTTCTGAAAACCAAAAGATAATTGTAATTTCAGCTTCTTTTTATAAATCTTAGTGTCTGTCACTATAGCGACGACGCCCCCTATATTGCGTGTATACAATAATGATGACAAAGGTAATTTATAATACGACAAGAACAATAATATTTCAGCTTTATTTGATGCTTTTCTCGATTTGCAATATTATTACAAGAACGTTTAGATTTATAATTAAATTCATTCTGAAGATAGTTACTTTAATTATATATAAGATCTTTGTGCTATGTTATCAATTCGCATCTACAGTATTATCCTTGTTCATTATCCATATCGCATAAGGTACTCAGATAAGCTAAGAGCTCTATATTAATATCGCTTCGAGATATTATCTAAGCATATAAGCAGTAACTCTACCGAATTTTGACTACAAAAAGTACCAATGTCCTGATATAAATATTTCTCAACTAGAATCGATGGTTAAAACACTTATATGCTATATACTAAATGCTGGTTAGTATTCAAGTTAATCGTAAATCATTAAATATTGGTTAATGAAGCTTGTACGTGCAAGAGTTAAGTAGTAAATTATTTTTATTTCGTATCCCTAGAATCAACAACTACGTTATATATATTTTTCTGCATTATATTCTAATTTTACAATCTTCTGCTTAATAAACTATAGTCTGTAACATACGGCTTATAAATTTTACTAATTAATCTAAATATACGAATAACCATTACAAAATTAAGCACACTAAATTCGGTAATACACTCATCAAACAGTCAGGAGAAAGGATTGTTAAGAGGACATGCTCAAAGAATATGGAGTGCCCGAACTTGCTGAGAAACAATATAATGTTTTATATAACCAATGATGTGATCAAAGTTAGTTAGATGTCTATTCACACTACACTGGTATTTCTAATTTAATATTATATAATAGTAAACTATCAGCTCTCACAAGAAAACATAAAAAGCATGATATTGTTGATTACCTATCCAATATCGGTATCTCAATAATCTTATAGCTGAAAGTAACAATAGTACAGTAATAGTATTGCGGTAGCTCCATTTCTGAGTTCTATAATTATGTAAACAACAGTACAGTCGTAAAATGATAGACAGATTACCGGCAAAATAAGCGATCGTATTCATACCTCAGAATTGACTCAGTTGACTATATTAAACTAAAATAAGACATTGTCCATAAATTACTTAACATAAATATATGAGCTTGCTAACCATTGAGAAGATTGTAATATACGCCTGAGTAGCCAGCTTTAGACCCTTCTATCAAGTTTATCAATAAACGATGCAGTATTCTACATCTGAATTTTTAGCCATCATTACCAGTCCTCTTTAGCTACTGAGCAATAAATTTCGGTAAAAGCGAATAATTCGTCTGTTCCCTTCCTTGATCTAATTAGGTTTCCTAAGTTTCGCTACTATTAAACCATCATTCAGGCTCTGATGTTGGAACATCAAAGAATTATTATATGAAATTGCGTTGCTGATAATCACATTTATGAAAGCTTTAGTTGGCAAGAATTTGATATGTTTACCAAGAAGAATTAATATGGTTACATAAACAGTAGTAAAAGGAATAACAGAATTATCTATTTTTATCCATAGAAACCGATTTATAGGATTTGCAGCGCAACCATAAATTAGTAAACATTGATACACTCAAATTTTATCATTTCAGATCAGGTTCTGTTATTCAATTATATCAAATATTGAAATAGAGTCGTGTACCGTATACGTACTACTTTTATAGGATAAATAACTAATTGGTTTAAGATTTTTAATTTCGTTTACTTTATAGTAAACATTACTTGAATATATCATTCAAGAGTATTGATAACAACTAACAATAAGCATAGCAAAATGAGAATTTGTCCCTTTTTAGATGCAATGTATTTTCTCTTAAAATAAATTTCAAGTCATACTATCTCATCTATACTAAAATAATGTCTAAATGTTCGTCATATCGTAGCAGCTTCGGTTAAAGTTATCCTTTCTTCCTTGATATTGCATTGCTGACAAAGGGATTAAACTAGGTGAACAACTTCAATTTTGATAGTATAGCAGATGGGCATACTGCATCAGCAAATACCGTTCATGAAGACTAAGTATGAATGATATATATGTATTACTCGAAATGAAATACATACGCTCTTTACTTTTTATTTATTGTCTATAAATATCAATAAACTACCTATTTTAGAGCTGTAGCTTGCATAATTTTCATTGATATTACATTATTGATGGAGGAAAATCAATTAATCAACAGTGCTAATAAATTTACTAGTCGGTCTAAGGTTTAAGTGTCATTTGATTCAAATGAGATATTAATGGATATGTTATTATATGGGATTTTATATTAAGATAAATATATAGTGTTACTAGAGTTACCGTATTGTTATCGGTTATGAAAAAATAATAGCCACGACAAGAATATGTCTGCTTCTATCCAATTCTGACGACAAGTATACTAGATATTCCCTATTCTAACCTTTCACATTCAACTGCGAGCTTTATTGGATCCACTGGAAACATAACAACCATTATTAGAATTGTCGGATGTTATTTGTGCGATGACAAGCAAAAGAAGCAAGTACAATGCTTACATTCTTTATAAGAAAATTGAAGACTCTTTTCAAAACTGATACAATGGGATAATTCTAAAAAAAATAACCACTGTAATGTTCAATTAACGAGAACATAAAGAAATCTACCTCCTCCTAGGACAGCGCAAGTTTACGAAATAGATTACTACAGGACTAAGAAATACTTTTATTCAATTTTTACCTTTTTTCTATATAAAAGCATTATACAAAGATAAAAGATTAAGGACCACCAGGGAAGAATTGATCAAGTTAAAAATTGTTATCCTAAGTCGGCCGACTGCATAGATCGAAATTTACCTTACATATCAGTTTATTGACTTACGTTAAAATTGATTTGATTTTTAACCTTAACCATTAAAATAGAAGGAAAGAAAAATTAGAACAGTGTCCAAGATGACCAGCGGCCTTCCTAAATCACGTTCTGCTTTCGATATCAGTCATATTGTCAACGGCAATAGTGGGTTAGATAGTTCCAATGAATCATCATTACTGTTGGGATTTCTGTCAGCTAAAAGGACAGCACAACATTTAAAACGAAGAGCAATCCATATAACTGAACAGGCTCGTAGACGACGCGATGATTTTCGAGGTGAAAGTGAAGTTTGCCATTCCGCTGAACCTATACGATCAGCAGTTTCATCAAGGTTAACTAGTCGAAATACGAATAGTTCTGCCTCCGATCTTTATAAAATACGCTCGACAACAGCTTTCCCTGCTGAAGATGTAGAAAGAATTATACGCCACATCGTTAATAAAGAACTAGATGACAAAACTTACCAACATGATTATTGTCGTCAGCAGTCTTCTGAGTTAGCGGAGAAAATTAAAGATGGTGTTAAAAAATTACACTTACCACGTTATAGATTAATTTGTTATGTCAATATAGGACAAAAGTCAGGACAATGTATATCTGTAACAAGCCAATGTCTATGGGATGATAATCTGGATAATTATGCATCCTATTGCTTTCAAAATGCTTCATTATATGCTGTATGTGTTGTTTATGCTGTCTACTGTGAGTAAAAAATGGTCACTAATAACGCTAATGACAGTAGTTACAAGTATGGCGTACAATTACTTGTATAAGCGATATACTATCACTTCCTATTCTTCCTTTTCGACCACATCACCTTTGGATATTTACTAGGATTGACATTAACGGATTTAATCTAGATTTGAATATCTCGATCTTCATACTATTAGAGCCATATGTTTCCAAAAATAATAATCCTTTTCTACAACGACTGTAATCGCCATTAAATTGAATCAAGATTTTACGTTCCGATCTTGACTACTCTGCCCTATCACGTATCAAAAATATCACTTTTCTACAATGACACTAACCTTCAACATGGAAAACATTCATATAAGAGCTTGCTGCTACTGCCCTTCTATTCCGACAAGTTAATGTCCAATATTGGCAAAAATTAATATTATTAATCAAGATTTAATGATCATATAATCTAATCTGGTAGAAATTCAATACTTGATACATAACTAGTGCTTTTTATTACTACATCAACTTTTAACCTTAGCCGATAGAAAATGCGGATAAAAAGCACTATCGACACAAGCATAGGAAGGTTTAAAATTACTTTATAAACGACTTTTTTCAATCTATCTAAATTTTCTACCCTTCTAGACCAAGTTATCTCTAAATATTTGATGAAAATTGGTAAAAATAACGATGATCCTGTTTTCCTTTACTATTTGATATCATCTGATCGAAATCTGGAGAGTATCACTTTTCTCGAGTTAAAGCCATCCTTAAATTTTATGATTAGAGAATATATTTATAAGTGATACCCTTTGGCACATATTAAATGCTACTGATTATATATTACAACAGCTGGTTTCATTAAGCAGTTTTGCTACTGTTTCATTCGGAAATTTCCACGATGTACTTGGAACTCAATCGCTACTCAGTAACTTCCTACAGCAGTTAAAGAATTCTTTCGATTTCACGATAGTAAACTCTCATTTTAGCTAGGTGTCCAATATGATAAGATTATCTTTATAGCAGCTGATTTACTAACCATTAATCATAATTTCCGCTATCAATTATAAATCAATTCATAAATGCATCGTGTCCCTTTAAAGATTTTATCTATTTCTTACATTAGTTATATAAAATTATTGAAAGTCCTAATGATATAGAAAAATCACTTAATTCAGCTTTCTATTATGAGCGAGATTTTGTCTGGCAAGCTCTTAACAACTTTTTTTCTGCCATAGTCTTGAAATATATTAACTACATCAAGCTTAATATGATAGCCTTAAATCCAGATAGTAAATTTCGATCCTGATTAATTAAGTACCAGTGAATAATACCTTTTCTAATTAACACTTTCGTGTTAATACTACTTTGTCTACTATTCTGATACAATATCAGATCATGCCATATTTTCGTATTTCACCTTGATTGTCGAAACTAGTTAGTCATTTTATACAACTACCCTATTGTCTATTTCCTTCTCAAGTAACTTTTAACGTTAATTTATTTTGGTTATAATATTAATATTGGCTTTTCTCAAAAATGGAGATAATCCTAATTTATTCTCTGTTTCAATATGAAATAGCTCACATATGATCAGTTTGAAAATACAGCACTAATGTTGATGTTGCAAGATTCATTGCTAGGTAAATGTAGCTATTTCAGCCAGAGTTATAACACTATCTGGCCATTGTCATTTTCTGCAAAGATCAGCTTTGCATTTTTGCTAATATTAATGATGGGTATAAAATCATGTTTTTTAATAGTTCTTAAAATAAAAGTTAACTGTGTATATGTAGAGCCATCAACTTTATAGTTTGTTATTAAATATAAATACAGATGTTTTGCGTGAAGAATGTATGTTGGTCCAGAAGCAAAATTCTAGATTAAACGTATTCAAAGTATAGGAGTTACAAAAGTAAGATTTATTGAAATATGCGTATAACGAAATTAGTAAAAATGTTCAGTGTGTTTGTAAATTGAGATATCTGCTAGATGCTAGATATTTGAAAAAGAGCAGTAGGAAAATAAGAGACTTTAATCCAACAAATGGCCTGCACACTTTTCTCGTTCGTTAGTAGAACCTTATAGCGATAGAAGCTATCGTACTAATATAGTGAGGTTGTCCAGTTGTAGTATTGGAGTGAAACGTTAGAGATCATGTTTTTAGAAGATTATCCGTACTATAGTATGTTTATTAAAGTAATATCGTATGCAGGTCATTAACTAATTACCGTCTTAGGTACAAGTATACTTAATTAACAAAGCTGAAGACTAGCTATGGTTGTATCAGCTGAAATACTTTCGTTAGATGTAGTTAAATAGATTGTCATTAATCAATTTATTAGTAATTTTAATCAAGTAGATAGTACTGTAGACAAATTCTGATACCATTACTTAACATAGTAATAAGATACTGTACAGTACTTGTATACTTATGTAGCTATTAGTAATCAAATCTCTTTAGGAATGATTTCAAATAACAAAATTGTAAAATGTTCTGACTGCATTAGTTTTACAATATGAATATATATAGATTATTTGGATAAAATGGTTTTTGATAGATTACCAGTAATTAAATCATATACATTTTATTTGCAGTATTAGCTGACAAAGATATATATTAGCTCTTTTTATACTGTAGACAAAATATTAATATTTCGCTAATCAGATCAGCGTTAATTCTAGTTAACAGGTAGCAGACGAGTTCGAATTTGCATTAATCGATATATTAGATGAGCATTTGACCTTTATACTGATTAATAGCAAATAAACCTTTCCTATGTTAGGCGATAAAAGCTATGGTATCAAAATGCTGAGATGATTGTATTCAAGAACCATAATTCAATTTGACTGATTTTCATACACAGAAATGGCCTCTTCATCCCTGCCTTACTGCTTGAATTTATAGTACTATACCTGTAAGATCCTTTAAATAACTCCTAGCTTTAATTTCATTATTTTAGAAAATTAAGAATAATTAATCTGAGGCAAGGATATGTGGTGAATTCCTACAAAATACTGAGTAGTTAATTACATATAGTTATACATTTTCGGAAGAATTAATATTAAATGCTATTGTTTATTACCACTCGAAAAGTGACATTGTCATTTATAGGAGTACAATTTTCGGAAGATTATTGAAATTCAATCACTCACTTAATCAAGAATCAAAGCTACGGATTTATACTCGTATAAACGCGTATAGTGCAAGCTAATATCTAATATCTAATATCTTATAGATCATTAGCAAATAGCCCTAAACCTCGAAGCATAGTCAATCGTTTACTCGATAATGATGTAGGGCATTTTGCATCCAATAAAAATTCATACAATAATACATTTACTAAAAAATGGAGACCAATTTACATAATCTAACAATTAGTTTTAATTCTTAATAATAAAAAGACAGTTTTACTCAATACGAATTTTTTCAATCTGCCAATCAAGAATTCTCCATTACATTTACTAAGTTATGAGCTTCTATCTTGTTACTTGAACAGAAAATCATAAAATTTTTCATTACTATATAATAAAATACGTTTTTATAAATCACTTGTACTGCTAATTTACAAAATACACCTACGTATAGTATATATCAGGTAGTCAGAAAATTTTAAATACGATAATCTTGCATTATTAACCCGCGAAAGACACTTGTCTTACTGTCATATGTATATCAATTTACAATTGTTCAGTATTATAAGTAAATCATCTTTTCCTCAATAATCATAAGTTCATTTTAGGTAATTTTGCAGTATTATTTTCATCTAATGTACACCTGGCATTAAATAACGGTAACACATTATAATTATTTACAGCAATTATTACCTTCGCTATATGCAATGAACTAATACAATTGTAAAAATATGTATAAAAAATTGATAATGCCAAAACCCTTCTATTTCATTGACATTCACTATCGAAGTTGACAAGTAACCGTCTTCCAGAACTGAAATTATAACCATAAATCCATAATTAACGATCGTATGTACCTTGTAAGCATAAGTACGTACAGTACATTCCAACAGCAATAAACAGAATGGATATCACTTAGTAAATGTACCTGTTACAGCAACAGAGGAAAGCAAGCCAATTTGATATATTGTAGCATCTGCTAGTGGTACCGCAGTTACAGACGTTTAAAGTATCAAACGTTGGATCTCGATAAGAAGACGGTTCTATAGGTCCTCCTTTCGAAACAAATTCATGTAAATATGATTGTTGTTTAATATCTGGCCAATCCTATTATAATAAGAGATCCAAACATAAATTACAAACAGGGCATGACAACTATAAATTCATCGCTCTTAATTTTACATTGGTTAGTTATTTATAACCATTAGCTATATAGTGTACCTTCATAGTTTCATAGGTATCGCTGATAATGGATATAAACAAGCTCAAGACGACGTATATAAATAATGAAATAAATGTATACAAGTAGATTCGGCTATAAAGCCAGGCCGAATAGCTTTCCTTGGACATAATTTTGTATGTTGTAAACATATCGTCTCCGTTGATTAGAGAAAACATACATTCAGATGCAGTGTTTAGAGTCCGGAACTAAATAGTAAGTCATTAAACAATATCACATAATTGTTAGTATTATAATCGTATAACAAAAATTTGTTTAATTTGAAGTGCAGTGACACAAAAATTTTACTTTATTTACTATCAATTTTTATTAGATGGACTGATCAATATATTACTATACCTTTTCATGATAAGGACCAAGAATGATCCACCCACAAAATGCGTAGCCCATGTACAAGAAAGCAGTACAAAACATGAAACGCAAGACACTAGGAAAAGCAGCTTTCAGGGTTATAAGGAGAATCTATCATTAAAATAGTAATTAAAAAGAACGATAAGAATCTGTTAAAGAAAGTACATCGTATTTTTTTGTAATACATGCCACAGTTCTGAAAAGATTATCCTATTATGTTCATATATTGTTTCTTACGTTATATTTACGAAAGAAACTTAAAAATCGTAAGAATCCAATCCAAGCAAATAATACCCCCGTTCCCAATAAGATGCTACAACCATCATAATCGTGAAAGTCCTGAAATCATAAGAACGTGGTTTATTTTAACGATAACTATATTCTACTGATGCATTAAAACGAGCTTTTCATACTATAAGGAACTCACCCCAGCTTCTATAAATATCTTAAAGCCGGACCCAATTATAGTTAAACTATCACTAGCTACAATAACTATGAACCACAAGTTTATAAATTCCATTCTTTCTTCGAGGGTTAGACTTTTATTGTGCTGATTTTTAAAGTGTTCTGATACGATCTAGCATTCAAATTCCCAAAAATATAAAGTCCATTGCTATGGTTTTAAATCAGCCGTAGTTTTAATTATCGCAGTTTAACAAGATAGACAAACATTTGTTGATAATTGGAACAAATGATGTCACTTTCTTACCATCGAAATGAGAGCGGATTTAAACATTGATCTTAAACATAATATGCTCGAAACCAAGCAAGATATAATGACAATCACATCAATAATGATCCCAGTAATGGAATAAGTAGAAAGTTCTGAAATATAATATCATTTATTACATCAAAGTTATAATAAATGTGTTTAAATATACATATTCAAACTAACCGTCCAGCTTATTCGATTTCTTCGAACATAGGTATCGCCTATGATCAAGCCGTACATCAATTAGCGCTTTCCCATCATGATCTGAGTTATCAATTGATACCTAGCAAGCAAGTATTTACGAAATTTATGGCAAATTAGCACAGTGTCTTAATTTAAAATTTGCATGCGATAACTTATAGTTTTTCCGGAAATAGCATACGTTAATGGTTAAATCGTAACAATCTGGGTCATTATAAAATTGAATTTGTCGTAGATCGATAGTCTTTAACGAGAACTTCATTGATATCATAATGATTCTATATTGCATGAGATAAAACATATTATTATGAAATATTACAATTATATCTTTTCTTCGCCAGGTCAATTACACAATGAGGTATCTTAACGATTATGCACCTTCAAATACTCTAAGTAGGACTATATACTATTTAACACAGTAAGTTGGCAAACCTATCCCAATCTTGCGGTAAAGTCAATTCGAAGCTTCGTAATTTTTGATTAGGATCAATAGGACCGGTGGCATTTTCACAGGCTATTCAGGAAAGAAGCGAATTATAACAATAATAGTAAGAAAATTAAGCATTATAGAGTAGCAGAGATCGTAAAGTAAATATTTTGTTAATCATTTTAAACTATACATCATCCTAGGGGCAAATTAAGCAAACAAATCGAATTTTGTTGGCTAAGTATGACTATGAACAGACTTGTAGAATTTGTTGTATTTAAAATATGATTAAATCACAGTTTTGAAAATAAAGTATTACAGTAAATCTAGGTGATTAAAAGTAAATCAATAAGCTTTTAATACCGGCACTTTTGTATAATTAAGACGATATTGCATTACTGGCTAGCTATGTCATTGACCCATTGATTAATCAACAACAGCATAGTAGTTTCGATCAACGGTAAATTTCAGGATTCAGTATTGTATAAGCTACACGTTGATGTGGTTATTCAATTTTCATCCTTACTATTTAAAATTGTAGTGTTGAAACGGTACTGTTGAGTTTGTGCGTGAAAAGTAAGGTTAGCATATTTCTTAACACAAAATTCAATAGGAGGTACACTTCCATCTGTTGTGGGGTAATTATATGCTCCAATGGCTGTGTCTGCTATCGCAGCATACTGAAAGGAAATTGATTCACATATTAAAAACAGCACATACATGTAAACATTATAAAGGAGCTTAGTGAAGGAGCTAATAACAATTGCTTATAATGCTATGTGTACCTGAAAAAAAGTATGATTAATTTGTTGTATAATTTGATCGACGCGATATACCGTCCGATTTCCAGTGAAATAGTGGGTTAATGTTTCTCGATTATCATTGATGAAATCCACCACTTGAAAACGTGAACTGCTAAATACACACAACTAGCGCAATACGAGTATAAAATGTAAATTGATAAGTCTATAGATTATGGTATCGATTTCATATGTACAAGATATACGCATACTTATAATAAACATTGAGAATAAAGTATAGCAATGCAAAATTCCCAATGTTAACTGAAATCATAGCGTCATCATTATTGCTATGCAACTATTAATTGCTACTCTGATTGGTGTGGTACTAGATTAATAATTAATTAATTAAGAATACTCGTATAGTCTGATTAAGACTCTCGATATTGGTCATTGTTCAAAACAGCAACGTGCTAGTGCTTTTGAAACACACGAATGAAAGCAGTATTTTTATTACAGTTTTATTACTGTTATTCTATGCAAAATCGACCAGAGGAAAAGCACTAATATCTCTCTCTCTCTATATACTATAATTATAATCAGTGTACTACAGTACTGTATTATACATCATTTGTAAACTGTAGCATTTGAAATTAAGCAAACAGACCTGAACTGTGATCATGACGATCTTGACAATTTGAAATACTAATTTCCATGGTTTTCGTTTCTTGGCTTCGTATTTTTCCAATGGATTCATAAAGTAATAACGCAATTTCTTCCTCATTTGATGATCGGATAAGTTAAAGGCAGCAGAAAACTCATGGTTTGCAACGGAATTGGAGACAGAATTTGTATCTAGGTTGGCTGCTGCACCTGTGTCAATCGATAACGCTGGATTTGCCATAATTGGAATTTCCACTTCCATACAGCTGTATATCCAGTGCGGTATACACGACGTTGTCCACTAGATATAGCCTGTTACAATCTATGTATGAAATACCAAATTGAAGTAATCCCCCCCAAAAAGAAAAGCATGATGGTCTGAGTTACAGCTAGTGGTCTAGTTGAAAGTTTAGTTCGTAAAAATTTGTTCGTATTTGACAAAAATAGACACTAAAAAACTACTATCGAAAGTCATGAAGGAAAGCTGTCACGGTAAAAGTGATTGACATAGGCGTACGTACAAGGTGTTTATGAAAAAGCAAAGAGTCAAAGACACTCCAAGTAATGTCAATAATCCACCAAGATTGATCCTGTTGCCTTCTCAACATAGAAACTAGTCTGACATGAGAGCTAGATGATAATGACAGAAAATAAAACATAGTATCAAATCCAATGTAAATCTTGCATCCACTTCTACTGTATGGATTGCTACCAATACTTTCGTCTCTGGAAAGGTAAACACAGTGTACATATCATCATATCATCGATTTTGTAGACAACACCTTGCAAGCCTCTACAACTTCCTGACAACTTACTCAAGCTAAAACTGATCTCAGGGATAGTTTTAATCTTCACAAGTAAAATCCAATCCGGATAACGTTGAATTGCTGATAAATTATGCAGAATTTTTGCTAAAAGACGTAGCCAAGGTTTGATGATTGTATCCATCAACTGTTGCTGCTTCCACTCGATTCGATTGAGTAGACAGTCCTACTGTAGTGGTATGCAGTCTCTCTCTCTCTCTCTCTCTCTCTCCTGTACGAGTGTACCCCCAACTGGCCCCAAGGACTTATAAAATAGAAAGAAAGCGGCCACCAAAGGGGTCGTTGATTATCGTGGTAATAATGAGCAGGCCAATTATTTTACTAGTCATTTCAACCGGATTGTATGTCTGTCACGGCACACTCTACTGTCGACATCCGCATTTGCCATACAGTTTCATCCTTACTAACGATAATACAGTGTACAGTATATATTCTACAGTACGCTGGCACGTACTGTATCACTACAGTACAGTACTTTCATTATCATGACACTGTCATGTGATAGCAATTGGTGGTGGCACCGAATCCACCACACTAGACCAGTCGCCCATGTCTACTCGACTCAAAATTTTCCCTCCTAAAAGAAAAGGGGAAATAGTTTTAGTGACGGCTTTGAGGAGAGAATTTGGAGTTGAGCAGTCCCTGTCCCTGCCAGTGCCAGTACTACTGTACCGACTGGTACTTTGATGGACTGCTAGAAGAAGACTAAAACTGATCCGTGATCAGTCCTTCGGATGGACGGATATTGTTTTACCAAATGAGGTCGTCAATGTCGAAAAATGACTACTTAGTATGAATCTTTCATGTCCATTTTCGAACTCACTGCTACTAATTTAAATAGCATTGACGATCTTATATAGCTGTTTCCAAGTCGAATTTTAGGAATAGATAATAAGATTCAATTTACAGTATAGGGCGAGTATTACTTCATTGAGAAAAAAATGCTTCAATTCAGAATCGACTGTCTGCATACTTTAGTACAGTCCTGTACTGTCAGAACGAAGTGTTTGCCACAATATTTTGCCGAGATGAGTCTGGGCTGTCTGTCCATCCAAGAGACTATCCTTGTACAGTACAGTGTACAGTGCTGTAGTCCACGGTACTGGAGACTGGAGGTACTGTACTGTACACTGTGTACAGTACTGAATGTAAATCATACTGTACAGTACAGTACAGTGTACACTAACTTCACGAACACATTCAATAAACTTTACCCCAACTGTCTATGAAAGAATTATTAATGACATACTGTACTGTACTGTAAAGAAATAAATTTCTATATACGGTACAGTACAGTACAGTGCTGTGCTTTGCCATCGAAAGGCCTGAAGAATTCTGAATTTCTAATTTCTATACTGTACTCTGTAGTCTGTACTTTGCCATCGACAAATCTGAAGAATTATGAATTTCTATACACAGAACTGTACTCTATACGCACTCTGTAGTCTTGACTTTCTTTGCCATCGAAAAATCTGAAGAATTATGAATTTCTGTACACAGTACTGTTCTTTGCCATCGAAAAATTGAAAGAATTATAAATTTCTGTACAAAGGACAGTACTGTACTTTGCCATCGAAAAATCGAAGGAATTATTAATTTCTATACACAGTACAGTACTGTACTTTGCCATCGAAAAATCTGAAGAGTTATGAATTTCTGTACAGAAAAATTGAAAGAATTATTAATTTCTTTACACAGTACTGTACTTTGCCATCAAAAAATCGAAGGAATTATTAATTTGTACAGTACTGTACTTTGCCATCGAAAAATCTGAAGAATTATGAATTTCTGTACATAGTGCTGTGCTTTGCCATCGAAAAATTGAAAAAATTATTAATTTCTATACACAGAACTGTACAGTACTGTACTTTGCCATCGAAAAATTGAAAGAATTATTAATTTCTGCACACAGTACAGTACAGTACTGTACTTTGCCATCGAAAAATCTGAAGAATTATGAACTTCTGTACACAGTACTGTACAGCACTGTACTTTGCCATCAAAAAATCTGAAAAATAAATTAAATGAAAATGCATATTATGCATTTTCATTCTGGAACATACTGTACTGTAGTGTAGCGGCACGTTTATTATTAATATGCATTTTCATGAACAAATGGTACACCCGCACTACTGCTATATCTACCATGCAATATTCAATTCTGACCAGTGACCTACTGTACTTTGCTAGCAGTAAGAAGTTCAATATGAACACATCAGCTCGATTAAGTTAATAAAATTGACAATACCGTTAATAATATTCATTTTTATCACCCTTGAAATCCAATTCAAGTCGTCTTTTACGCAATCATTAGAAAACATCATTTTAATTAGATACAGGATAACTTTAGAATTTGCGATGGATAAAATGACCACTAGCGGCTACGACAAGCTAAAATTTTCTTTGCCTGTATGAACTGAAGCAAGAGATTGACGACTACCAATTGCCGTACTTGTAGCAGCATACAAGCATTTAGCTTTACACCTGAGCGAAAGATCATCACTAGACCCGATAAGAAATACAGTACATCTCAGGAATCAAGTAAAGTTTGTCGTTGTTCATGGCAATATTATTGAATCAACTATATATCCTTTACAATACATAAAATGTAGTACTGTATATTTACTACTACACTGGTAAAGTACCGTAAATTTTACCGATTGATGAAAGCCTTTAATGCAATTAAAAAATTATAATTATAGTTTAACGAATAGTTGCTTGGCATCGTAAACCGTAAAATCCACAATGCGGGTAAATTTCTAAATGACCATGAAGGAGAATAGTTATTACTTCTTTAGTAGAATCACTACTATCGTCATTTTTTGCTACCGCCTCTACCCCTTCATATAATAAGAATTACTTTCGGTAGTAGCCATCCATTACAGCGTGTATTTAAAATATTGGATCACAATCTAAAGCTAAATCCATTCAATGAATCTATGCACATAAAATAATTGAAATAATCATTTAATAATAAGTGCAAGAGAAGATGAGCCATCATGATATTACCTACATTATCATAACATTATAAAATACTGTACAGTACTTAGTGAGCCCTTAAATGGAGTAAAAATGCAATCCGAACCCGATAAAACCCGATCAAATTGTCGATTTTCTAACCCAAAAATGAGTGCAATCGCTATACAATCATCACTCTATCACAACAGAATTACTGAAAGCGAATCCCTCCCTCGAGTCGGGTTTCGGCTTGACTTTTAACGACACTAGAAATTAGCGTATACCGATGGACCGAATTGGAATATGCCGATGTCGTTCACTAATTCTATATTGGATATACAGTGCACTGTATAATGTGCCAAGGTAATTTTTGGCCTTATTAGTAATTAGAGAAGTAGGACGCGCACTATTAGCCTAGTGGATAATCGACGCATATTCTATCATACACATGAAATCGCAATCAAGTCTAATTCATCAGTATACTCCCAGTTGCAAATTGTCTTGTATAATGACATACAAGACTATCAATTACACTTAGCGTATATGAATACAGTTATGCTAATTGTTGACGTAGACGAGGAGAATCGCAAGGCTTGTTCAAGGCAGCTTATGCCATACTGTGCTATAACATTCATGCTGCAATAACATACCAAAGTGTAGCTTTGGATCACAAGATTGTATAGGATAACTTACTATACCTAGATCGCAAGCTAACGTCAATTACTGCATCCTGCTAATAATTAATTAAACACTTGCAATCAATATAGCATTAGTATTAGCTTCCGCCTTCGATACACCACAACTGTCGTCGAATTGATTATACAGTTATAGTAAAAAGTCGGTTAACGACGACTATACCGCAGCTATTTAGTCTTATTGATATCAAAAATTGTTGATCACTTTCACTTGGCATCGATGTGTATATGTTATTCTCGTTAGCCAGTTGGAGATAACTTGGGTGATATTAAAGACATAAAAAAAAAATCCAGAGATCGATGGACTTGGACACTATCTCCTGTGGCAATAGTGATAATCTTGATTTAACGGATGATATAAATAACGTACGTTATAAGAATATCCAGAGATCGATGGATTTGGACACCATCTCTTTTGGCGATATTGATAGTCTTGACATAACGGACGATGCAAATAATGTGCGTAGGTAGACTTGGGTCGCAATTGAATTTTAATGTAATCAGGTTAAAAGAATAGGCAATCAGTAATTTGTTAAAGTTATCCAACCTATTGCACGTTTTATGCTTAGTTAATGGTTATCTCGATATGACCGTTATTTATATTCCACATTATTAAATTTACACGCCCAATGATAGACATGCATTCGTCAAATTCTTGTTATTTTTATGACTATATTCTGCTTAGTCAATGGGTTGTAAATTAGGTCTGTTCTGCTAACCATTATTTAGTTTTTGCTTGCTACTATTTCATGCCAGTTTTTACT